TCACCATTAGTCACCGGCCGTTACACTCCGTTAAATTTGTCCTACGTGGCAGTCAACTATAAAGTTTGACCGTTAACTAGTGACGTGGAAATTAAAAAAAAAATTAAAAAATTCCACCTCATCAATCTACTTATTTAATTATGAAGAAATTGCAGAGGGTCGGGCATTGAGGGATTCGACGCCTATAGCGTCTCCTCCACCTGAATCCCTATTGATTGGAACCTTGTTGGGAGGATTAAGTGGCATCGGAAAGATGAACGAAGGGTTGACATCGGAAAGATGAACGAATGGCAGGTGAAGACTAATCAAGAGAAGGAAAGCGACGACGACAGATATATCCGGCGGTGGAGCTGTTGATGCAACGGTGACGGTATTTTCGACGGTGATTTCCTTGAGGACACCGGTATGGAGGAACCCTCCGAGGGAGAAGCGGGGGCAGCCTATGGCGGCCGTTCACCGATGCTGGTGCAGGAAATGATGTTGTTGCCGGCGGTGAGGGAGTCGAGATCCAGTGACAAGCCGGTGGAAGGGAGGGCGGCGTCGGCAATGGAGGAGGTGGGGGAAGTTGGTATTGGCTTTGTTTCCACGGAGGGAGCGGGCGGCGCCGTCGCAGGCGAGGGCGGCCACTTTTGGGTGTGGAATACCTAGACAGATGCAGGTTTTCTTCCACCGGTCGCGAATTGCTTACGCGTAGCGTCCCCACGGCCGCTTCCTAGCGCTTCTTTAGTGGCCTTCTAATATGGTGGAGGAAGCCATTGGGGGGAGCGGTGAGAAGCAGAGGAAGGAACAAACGAAGAAGAGGAGGTGTAAAAGTGGGCGGCCAAAATCCCTCAATCCCTTGCCTCTGCAATTCCTTCCTTGGCTAATAATTAATCTATATTAAATAAGGATATGATAAATTACGGCTTAATTGCAAGTTTGGTCACTCGAATTGCTTAAAAATTTCACGTTTGCCACTCAAATTGATTTATTCCATTTATAGTCACTCGAATTAGTTGAACAGTCCAAGTTTGGTCACTCTCCGTTAACCTCCGTTAGACTCCGTTAGTGACGACCGTTAAGTGATGACGTGGCTAACAGAAAGACACAGCCAGCATATTTTAACATTAAAAAAAGACGACCCGACCCGCCAGCTCAGCCTTACCCGCCCTGTCAGCCATTCTTGCCCAACCAGCGAAACAACCCAATTAATTGACCCTAAACCCAAACCCGAGACCCGCCGCCGTCGTTGTTGGTCTCCGCGATGTCGGTGGTGGGTGTAGTCTCCCTGGGAAACGCCGGCTTGTCGGAGCTCCGAGGCAACCACATGAAGTATTCCAAGTTCGCCGCCCAACCATCCGCTTCTACCTCACCGTCGTTGTCCTGGTCCTCCCTCCCCAGCAGAACCGGGATGCTTGTGGCCTACACTCCGACATTCCTCGCCGCCTTGTCCTCCCTGCTCCTCCTCCACCATGGCGGTGGCGGAGCTTCGTCTTCTAGGCTCTTCCAGGTCGAATCCGCCCTCGCCGTACATTTCTTCAAAAGGGTTTTCGAGGTACGTACTTTCTCCCAGTTCCAATTCAATCCAGCTCCAGCCCTTTTCTTCGAATGGAATTTTGATGGTTTTGTGGTCGAAATTGCTTGATTGCAGACACTGTTCGTACACAAGTACAATGGCACCATGGCCGCAGGCACAGCGATTCCGATAAGTGTAAGCTACTTCAGCATTACAGCTTCCTCCGCCATGGCCACCGCCGCACCACCTAATCGTCGCTGCAACAACAGGCCCCCATACTGCGATACCATCAAACAAGAAAGGGAAAGAAGAAGGAGAAGGGATTTGTTCATTCCCTTGGTTAAATTAATTATTAACCACACCAATTTATTGGAAGGCATGATTTTTTTGTCAATTTAGGGATCTTTTTTCTTTGTGTGTTCTTATGGATAGGGGAAGAAGATGCAGATAGAGATAGAGATTTCAATCGCCCAACCCCAAAATCTCCTCTTCTCTCTCCCCGTCGGCACCATCTCCACCGCCCCAACAAAATCCCTACCAACCCGGACTTCATCTCCTCCAAGCCTCTCCTTTCTCATTCGTCGCTGTCGCTGCCGAAATGGCGAGTTCATCCCACTGGATCTACAGACCCGCCTCTGTCTCTCTCGATCCGTCGATATGTTGTCGACCGTCGAGCATGCATCGCCTCTCTCGATCTGGGCGGCGACGTAGGAGAGGGTTTACTCGACGGGTGGGCAAGCGTTGAATTTGGTCAACAACGACATCGTGGAGACCAACAACGATGGCGACGGGTCTCGGGTTTGGATTTAGGGTCAATTAATTGGGTTGATTCGCTGGTTGGGCAAGAATGGCTGACAGGGCGGGTAAGGCTGAGCTGGCGGGTCGGGTCTTCGTTTTTTAATGTTAAAATATACTGATTTTGTCTTTCTGTTAGCCACGTCATCACTTAACCTTCGTCACTAACGGAGTCTAACGGAGGTTAACGGAGAGTGACCAAACTTGGACTGTTCAACTAATTCGAGTGACTAATAATGGAATAAATCAATTTGAGTGGCAAACGTGAAATTTTTAAGCAATTCGAGTGACCAAACTTGCAATTAAGCCGATAAATTACATAGTCAAAGTAGGTTGAATGATGAGGTGGAAAATAAATAAAATTTTTTATTTTTTTAATTTCCACGTCACTAGTTAACGGTCAAACTTTATAGTTGACTGCCACGTAGGACAAATTTAACGGAGTGTAACGGCCGGTGACGAATGGTGAAACGATTCGTAAAGTTAGTGGCGAATCAGAAAGAAAAGTAATTCGGGTGGCAAATGTGAAAGATGTGTATAATTTGAGTGACCAAACGTGTAATTTAGCCATTTTTACTTGGATCCTGAAACAACAACTTCTATAGTCACCAATCTCATCTCATAATGTACGAATTACAAATGGGCTAGCAAAATCTACTTTACCTTCCAATGTGGACAGCTGTAGAACATTCTGCCTGACTTCCTGCTTCTGTTAGTCACACAAGGCGCATGTGGTAGAAAGCGACTTCCCCAAGGCTATTTTGAGCATTTTCGCTTCTCGGAGAGGAAGCGCCCCTTTGAGACATGATGAATCTTCTTGAAGGAGTAGCGGCTACGGTGGAGGTGGGTGTGGCATGAAACGGCGGAGTCGGGGTCGGCGCGAAACAGCGGAGGCGAAGGAGCTTGGGGAAGGAAGGAGGAGGGTGAAATGGGTTACGGTGGGCCGCCTTTAATCAGCGGCCGCGGTTCAAAGGAGGTGGCGGTGATGGGTTCTGAAACCCTAGATTCAGTGGGGGAAGTGAAAATAAAAGGAGGAGGGAGAACGAGGCTCGGGTCCCCGATTTTAAGGGTGCCGATATATTTTTTTTATTGACGTGTCGTCCTACATGTCACTGAAGTATGAGGTGTAAGCGACGGAGAGGCTGAGAAGGCAGCCAAGTCAGCATTCCGTTTATTCCACTAACGGTGTCACTAACACCGTTAAAGAATGTAACGGAAATGACTATATTTGTCATCAAACATTCAAATTAGTAGCTATATTCGGTATTTCGCCAAAAATGGCTATTATTGTCACAAAAGCCAAAGTTTTGACTATGCAAGTGTATTTTGCCTTTTATTTAGTGGTATTTCTACAAAAATTCTTCAAGTTAGCTGGTTTGTTGGTAATGGGTGTCAGATAGTGGAGTATGATGTGTGGTCAATATCAATGTATTTATATTTTCTGTATAGGTTCAATTAAAGTTCATGAGAATACCTAATATTGAGTTATAAATATGTCACATTCACGAAACTAATCCTAGAAGTTTAATTCAAGTTTGTTAGACTCTTTTGCTTCATACGTAAATAATTAATATTTTTTTTTTCAAATAGTGGGGTTATATATACTAAAACAATATTCTTATGGCCCTGGAAGCTAAGTTTAATGACATTATGTGGAATTTGTTATGTGTAAAAAGCATATAATCTAGTGGAAGATTTAGCCATAGTAATTTTAACATTTAAGCAACGTTATAACTATCTACAGATGCGACGAGAAGATGATGCTTAAACACAAAAGATAAGAACTCAATTGGGATTGGCACTATTAATTTTATCATAATCGAAACCCAATCAAGAAACACTGAATGTCGGTGATAAGGCCATTTTATGTTGTGTGCTTTCTTGGTGTTCCCATCACCCTAAAAAAAATGACTGCAAGATTCTCAATCTAATAAGGGGTCTGGCTGGACTATGATGGCCCAACCACTTGTATATGTATATGGTCATCCTAAACACTTGCGTGTTCATTATACAAATGATGGCTAAACCCAAACTCAGGAATGTTGTCACCCACATATGATAAGAAGAAATTGAAATGATGCTGAGATGTTTAACCCCAATGCATAGAAGGTTATTTAGGAGACGGACAATCTTCTACCCCTTGACCAAATTGCTACAAGAAGACCAAATAAGCTAGATTCAACATTTGGTAGCTTCCTTCCAAAAAACCCCTTGAATCAACTAAAGTCAACAAGGTTATATGGGAATTTAGTGTCACCGCCTTCTCGTACTTGAATCATGAACGTTTCGGGAGAGCTCAACTACTGGATATATAATGCTAATTAAAGGGTTGATTGCATGGTTGGTCACTGAGATTACAAAAAACGTTCATGTTTGGTCACTGAAAATATTTAAATCCAGTCTTGGTCACTCAAATTAGTTAAATGATTCAAGTTTGGTCACTCTCCGTTAACTCCAGCTTACGTGGCAATCAACTTTCATAGTTGACCGTTAAATACGTGACGTGGCAATTAAAAATTTATTAAAAATAAAAAAAATAAACTTTTATATTTTCCACCTCATTATTACCTTCATTAAAAAATAAAAAAATAAAAAACCTACAATTGCTCCCAGCTAATCTCCGACCACTCAGCCTCGCAGCCCAGCGACTCCCGGTTCAGATCGCCGAGTTTACAATAGCTCGCCGCCGCGACGTTGAAGTGGAGCGCGATCCCGACCCCCTCATAAAGCAAATCCCATTCATTCCTAATTATACCTTGCTCTTAATTTCCAACCTCCATCATCATACTTCCTTCCTTGTACCCTGTAATCCATCAGAAAAGCCCAACTTCCCCTGAATCAATTCGATCGAGGAGGAGAAAAAAACAGAGAGAGAGAGAGAGAGAAAAAAAATTGGACGCGAACGAGCTGAGGAGAGTGTTCCAGATGTTCGACAGGAACGGGGACGGGAAGATCACGAGGAAAGAGCTGAGCGACTCGCTGCAGAACCTGGGGATCTACATCTCGGAGGGGGACCTGACGCAGATGATCGAGAAGATCGACGTCAACGGCGACGGCTTCGTCGACATGGACGAGTTTGGGGAGCTCTACCAGTACCAGACCATCATGGACGAGCGGGACGAGGAGGAGGACATACGGGAGGCATTCAACGTCTTCGACCAGAACGGCGACGGCTTCATCACCGTGGACGAGCTCCGCTCCGTCCTCGCCTCCCTCGGCCTCAAGCAGGGCCGGACCCTCGAGGACTGCCGCAAGATGATCAGGAAGGTCGACGTCGATGGCGACGGGATGGTCAATTTCAAGGAGTTCAAGCAGATGATGAAAGGGGGTGGATTTGCGGCTTTGAGTTCCACTTAGATTCATAATTGCTTCCTCTTCTCTTCTCTTCTTTTCAATTGATGAAAGGGGGTGGAGCGCGATCTTCGAACAACTCCCCGGCTCTCGTCGCCATTTTCTTGGTTTCGGTGGTTTGGAAATTGGAATTGGGTTTGGGAAATTGAGGAGTGGGTGGTGTTTAAGGAGATATGGGGGGAATTTGGTTGTTATATGGTTGAAGGAATGAAGAAAGGGACAAGGACATGGGAGGAAGAAAGTTTGAGGAAATGGCGGGTGGGAACTGCGAAGGGAAGGCGCTCCACTTCAATGTCGCGGCGGAGGGACTCGGGATCGCGCTCCACTTCAACATCGCGGCGGCGAGCTGTTGTAAACACGGCGATCTGAACCGGGAGTCGCTGGGCTGCGAGGCGAGTGGTCGGAGATTAGCTGGGAGCAATTATAGGCTTTTTATTTTTTATTTTTTATGAAGGTAATAATGAGGTGGAAAATATAAAAGTTTATTTTTTTATTTTTAATAATTTTTTAATTGTCACGTCACGTATTTAACGGTCAACTGTGAAAGTTGACTGCCACATAAGCTGGAGTTAACGGAGAGTGACCAAACTTGAATCATTTAACTAATTTGAGTGACCAAGACTGGATTTAAATATTTTCAGTGACCAAACATGAACGTTTTTCGTAATCTCAGTGACCAACCATGCAATTAACCCGCTAATTAAACCTTCCAACTTTTCTATAAAAAAAATTACACCTTCAACTATTGAAACCACACTCGGGGAAAGAACTTTAACCCCTTAACAGAATTGCTAAAAAAAGACCTTAACTAGATTCGAATGTAATGGCTTCCTTCCAAAAACATTCCAATAAAACTTAGGCCACCATGGTTTCTATAAGGACTCTAGATGTCACCAACTTCTCGTGCTTGAATCAGTGTTGTCTTGGACGTGGACGAGATCAACTACTCCCGGTGGTCTGAATTTCCCTCTTGAAATGATGTGTGATATGAAACAGGAGTTATGACACGTGTCCCCATAAGGCGAAACATGTTTGATGAATCTCCTACTAAATTAAGAACCAGACAAGCTGACAATTTTGACACTGTCCTTTTGCAAAGGAAGGGATGCTTTCCCATTTAATTCCCTCCTCTCCCACTCAATAATTGCATGCCGGTCCCATATATTTGATATATGCATCGCAATAACGACGACGAGAGACAAAACTGGGGGGACCCTTTTCCCTCCTTACCTTTCTTTTTCTTCTTCTTCTTCTGCTGTCGTTGTTTGTTGGGAAAGGCATAATAGAAAACAAAACCTTCTCTGCCCATTTTCACCTCTTCGTATGAGCTCTATTTAAGCTTTTCGTTCCCCTTCCATTTGAACTTCCCACACAACCAGTTCTCTTTTCCAGTTGTATAGAGCAATTTCTCATCCTTACTCATGTCTAGCAGGAGATCATCATCATCAAGAGCTTCAACAATGTCTGAAGATGAGATTATCACTGACCTCGTCTTGAAACTACAAGCCCTTCTACCGCAACTTAATCCGAGGAAGCCCTCAAGGGTATGAACTCTGCTCATATTTTACTGCATCTTAATTAGCTTTGTCTTAACCAACCACATTTGTTCAACATTTGAAACCTGCTTTGGTAATATAATGTTGTTGCAGGCACAGGCGTCGAAGGTGTTGAAGGAGACATGCAGCCACATCAGGAAGCTGGAGAAAGAGGTGGATGATTTGAGTGGAAGGCTGTCCCAGTTGCTGGACACCATTGATCCCAACAATCAGCATTTTGATTTGGACTCCATCAGAAGAAGTTTACTACATATATGATTAGTTACTTTAGTTTTGATTCTTAATTATAAGTTGATTAAACCGGATTACCTTAATGATCCGGTTTGTCCTATTCTCTCTACTTCACTTCTTCTCCCACCACCAACCCCTTTTTCCTTTGGGCTAAATATAGCTAGCTGTACTATAGTAGTAGCCATCTTGTCGTTACCTGGTCAGGGGTTAATGTTGTGTGGAGTTGAGCTTGAAATATTGTACGTACGGATTAACAAGTGATTAATCGAATATATAATTTATTTCTTCTTTTAATTATTTATTGATATATAAAAGCTTTGGTACGTTTAGATTTACTATTAATTACGTGGGTTTTTGTAATTATCGTGAATTTTAATGGCAATTTCATTTGGTCCAAAATAACTTCATCTCTTCAGTTGTTGAAAATTTCTCCCCCGTCTTCAATCGTTGACTAATTTTTCACCACTTAGAGGAGATTAAAGAATTTACATACGCCCACCGATCACACATATTTTGATTACGTGTATTAAGGCGATGCATTCTAATTTTTTTAAATTCTTACATATTAACAATGTTTGTGAGTTTTACAACTATTCAACTCAAGGTCGACTAATCACGCATATTTCGATCACATGTATTATGATTTTGCATTTCCGTTATAAAATCTTATCAATTTTTTTTATGTTTTATAGATTAACAATCTTTGTGAATTTTTTGATTATTCAACTTAAGGTCGATTGATCACGCATATTTCAATCACGCGCATTTAGTGAATGCGTTTCTGCTTTAGAATCTTATCAATTGACAATCTTTGTGAGTTTTCTATTCAACTAAATATTTGGTTTTTTGCATAGAGTCCAATTTGGAATATGATGCCTCATTGTCCATCGAGTTCAATTTACTGTTATAGCTTAGATGTATATTATATTATTTTAATGGAAGGTTGACTCGATAGTTTCAAAATTATTTTACATGCGACTGAACCTACTTTTTCGTGAACTGGATTTATTTTATATTGGTTCATTTGTCGATTCACATGATTGGAGAATTGTATTATGTGAAAATTGATCATATTACTTCTTATTTCAAACATAAACTTTAGTAAAAAAAAAAAAAACATTGTTTGCGAAGTACGGGTTTAAGCCTAAAATATATGTATGGTGTAATACTCTGATACTCTCATTGAGATAGCTCTTTTTTGAACATAAACTCGAATTTGAAATACAGCGCTATACTTCCATCTTTAATGGGTAACCACAAACCCTTTTTCTCTATACTTGAACTCTATATCAAGTTGATCAAAAATAATAATCCACAATTCTCATTCAACATTAAATTGCATTCAAGGATAAAGTCACTCAAAGTATCATATGTTGTGGAGCACACTAACCTTTACGATTAAACATATATTTTGTCTAATTAGTCTGCTGTTTTGTCCTGTATGGGTCTCATTAACCCCCTACAGCCGACCACCAACTACCTGTAACTTAGTTACCAACTCACCTTAATCATATAAAAGACAACTCTCATAGTTTGATTCAAAGCATATGGTCACATTGGCGTGCATTTCTATATTTAGCTGCTATATCATATTGTGCACATTTGTTTAATTGTACATTTTGGTAGCATCTTTTAGGGTTTTAAGAATTTGGCACCAAACACAGTAGGAGATCTCCCATAGGACCAATTCATAGTCCAAGATAGTCATTGGTCGATTTACTATATATATTCTCAGATCTAGTTAAGACATGGGTTGAGATGTTCTTATATAACTTTGTCTTTAGAAGATAGAACATGAACTAGACAAGATCCATTTAATTCTTCTTTGTTTATGTATAGATTTGTGTCTGTAGAATAGCACAATGGCCACTCAGAACATATCCACTTTGTAGTTTATTTATTTCGAATAATTAGAAACAGGAAAAATAGTTTATTAAAGTGATAAGAAAAACGATCTACAAAACCAACTTATAAAGATTGTCAAGACACCACGATCATATCCATGTGATGTGTAATTGGAACAAAAGTTCCTTAACCCTCTTAAGATCGTGATTTGTTTTGGAAACAAAAAAAAAAAAAATTAGGCATCCTATTTGAATATCGGCGAGGAAAAAAAAACTTCTTCTCAAACAATGCAGTTAAAGTCTAGTTTCATATATAAAAACGATATGATAAGTAAAATTGGAAACATAAGCTTTTAAACCTTCTATAAATTTTATAGAAACTTTCTAACCATAATTTTTATTTTTCAAAATATAAACAAATTAGTGAATTAACTCATATTAAAAATCATTCTCACCCATATAAACTAAATAAATAGACTTTTAAACTCATTCTCCTGCTTTGAGGAAAAAATATGAGAAGAAGAAGGAAATCATTGACAAATGATGAAGCTATAAGGATTGTAGGCAAGTTTCACTAATAAATGGAAGTAGTGGCAACCTCCTTGCTTGCTGATGGCCTCGCTGTGGCTGGACAGGTTAGATATACTTATGTTTCTAACAAATGAATCATCCCTATAATGTAAAGAGTCAAGAAGCAAGATCAAGAATTTCAACTCCTCTTTGAATTGGCCTTGCAAATCTCTGCTTTAATTATGTCACATTCTGGCAATGAATTAGAGATGAGGAATCACTAGCCCCAGCACCATCTCACATGCGGTGTAGGGTCGTGTATGTTTTGATGGGGTGAGCAACATCTCATAATAAGACACATCTTGGGTTGCGAATCAAGTAAAAACCAAGAAAGCATACACTATTTATTAATTCAATGAATGAAATTGAACACCAAGATTCATAAACAAATTCTGAACGCCAAGTAAGGCTTCATGGTATCTCTAGCACTGGCCAGAGCATCGCTTTTATTCTTATTGGCTAACACCTTTCCTGCAACAGTCCAATCCCCACTTCAATATTGTGGCAAACCTAGAGCATATTGGTTGGAATTTGGGAACAGAAAGATCTAGGGTAAATACAATATATTATCCATAACTATTAAGTAGCGGGGAATTATAGCCACAATTATCGAAATACAAATTATTAGCCATAACTATTGTTGTGGGTCAAGATTTGGCTAACAGCCCGTTACTGTTTTCAAATTTTTAACGTAGGTCATGTCAGCATCGTAAAAAATATGATATGATGACTGCCACGTGGGAGCCAGCTCACCATCGTAAAAGTTTATTCATCATTACTAACAGAAGTGTTAACGAAAACTTAACGATTGGCTAATAATTTGTATTTCGATAGTTGTGTCTATAATTCCCCGCTGCTTGATAATTATGGCTAATATATTGTATTTGCCCTAGATCTTTCTGTTCCCAAATTCCAACCAATATGCTCATTTTGCATGGATCAGTCTCCGTTGATGCTTGCTTTGTCGGACTTATTCGTCGACGCTGCCGCTCCTCCCCAATTCATCTTTTGCTATAAATATCTGGTTTGCTAACTTAGGTTTTTATCTCCTTCTTGTTAAGTGCGTAGACGAACCACCTACTTCCGTCGTCGTTCTTTTCTGGGTCCTCCCCCTACTCCTAGAAAGAGCTAGCCACGGAGCTTGGATACGGGCTGCCTAGGTATTCAAGGTACATCACAAACAAGCCCGTGAAGACAATCGGAGGTTAGGTTTATTTACATTACTGTTTTTTGTTTTTGGGTTGCAACGTTGGAATTAGCCACATGCAGGCCTGTCTTTATTTTTTTTCATGTTTGTTTGGTGTTGTTATGATCCACTGATATTCGTAAGAATTGTACCATTGCTAGTGGTAGCTGTGGTACTAGTACCCATCGCTTTGATCTGCTAACAGTGCTAGTTTAATGTAAACGTATAACTTGTTCTAACAGTAGTATTCTACTTGTTCTAACAGTGCTAGTTTAATATGGATTGTACCAGTAACATTCTACATTGCTAATAGTAATTGTAGTGATATCATTCTACTTGTTCTGTTGCAGGGATGGCCAGAACAAAGATCCCAGCTATATCATCTACGAAAACACAACAACCTACTGGTTATGTTTCTCGGCAGGTAGCAGTCCGCTTGAGGGACTCTAGTGATTCTGGTGCTGGGCCTAGTAACAAACGGCCATGCGATGAGGTAACAAAGAGTCACAGCAAGAAGAATTAGAGATGAGGAATTCGTAGAAGGAAATACTAAAAGGGTAACCCGAGTAAAATTTTTTTATGTTTTTTATTCTTTCAGCCAACAAAATTTAACCAAACTCGACCCGATATGGTTGGGTGTGCAATGATTAGTTTCAAGAGCAGACCGAACCAAACAAGTCTGACATTGAGACCGTACCAAACCGACCCCGAAAATAATGTGTGTTCCTATGAATTTATAAATACTTGAGGAAAATGAGGCTGATTGATATTTGGACCAGACCACACTAGATTGAATGCAATGTTGGTCTGGTCTTATGTAACCTAATTCGTGGGTTTAGACTTTAGATCCCACGCTCCCCGCTTTGGCGCTTCAAATTGTGAATTTCAGATAGAGTGCTAAGAATTCGCGAACTCCTTTTTTTTTGGGAGCACGATTTTCTTGGGTGAAAGCGCGAACTTGATTGATTTGGGGAGGGAAGGTTTTATGGGAGAGAGAGAGGCGACATCGATGACAGATCTGGCCATCTCCGTTACTAACTTGTAATCACCGCCGCGAGAGAGAAGAAATAGAGTAAAGGGATGAGAGAAGAAAACGAAGACGGATAATTGCGTTGGAGTAGAAAGAAGAGACGAATGAGAGGGAAGCCCGGAAAGGTGACAACTATTCGGACTTTTTACAGAAATACCACTGTTAAAAAAAAATTCAAAAATACCACCCAACCCCAAAAAATTCCAAAAATACCACCATTTCTCGAAAACCGCCACCCCACCCCGCGGTTTACTCGAAAACCATTGGGTGGTGGCGAGGTTTTCGACCAAAACCGCTTGGGTAGGGTGTCGTTGATTGACCACACCGGGTAGGGCCGGTTTGGTCCAAAACCGCTGCCCCACCCAGCGGTTTGGTCCAAAACCGCTGCCCCACCCAGCGGTTTGGTCCTATTTTATTATTATTTTTTCGATTATTCCTAACATAGGTGGAAAATTCAAACGAACGTATCTTTGTGCTCGGGTATCCGATTGTAGCAAATATTTTTTATTCCGCATAATTTTTCGAGATCTTGCAAGTCGCAAAGTCCCGCCTTCGTCGCGAAAAAACGTCATTTGCTACCCCGAACGGGTTTTTTCCCGATTTTGCCAAACTTTGACCGTCTATAAC